ACCGGATTTCTGAGAGAATTTGACGTTGACAGGAATTTTGTGTTTATGGCTTGTTTTGTCCAAGTGTGGATAATTCTTGAGCTGGTTTAAGGGACAAAAGGTAAACTACAGTGTAATGTTCTGTTGTTTGATTTGTTAGTGTCAATTTTGTTCGTGAGTTGAGTTTTGTTGTGGTGAATGTTGGAGAGTTTTTCAGGAATAGCCTTTGATGATTTTTATATTCAGGTTACGAAGTTTAAAGATAGTTTCACGGTATGATTGGTTTATTGTGGTGGATAGGTGAGAGAACATACTTAAAAAGTTATACATGGAATAACAAAGATAAACGTTTAGACTTACACAACCTCGATTAATCGCCATTATGAATTCAAATTCGGTGACGAGGAATCCACTTGGAGACTAATAGTGGCTGGAGACGGCTTGAATGGGTAATATAAGTTTTTCTTCATTACCCATTTAAGCCGTCTCCAGCCATTATTAGTCTCAAAGTGTGTTCCTCGTCACCGAATATAATAACGTTCTTGAATAATATATTTATCAACATTCCTAACTGAAATAAGAATCATTCTTTACGAGACCAATAATCTTTCTAAAATTAACATCGACATAAAACATTATATCGCAACGTTATGTATGAAAACAACATTTTAGTAATATTATACATATTTTATTAAAGGGGAAATCGAGGCCTATATTTGCAAAATATAATCTGTTATATATTTTTTAGTTACTAAAAAAAAAGCATATACAAGAAAGCGATCGTGTCGTCTATCTTTCTTTCTATACATAAATAAGTAGATAAAAATATTGTCACAATAAAACAAACCCTCTGGCACTAATGTAACACGTAATATTAGAAGCAAATTAATATTTAATGCCATCCAACAAACAACAGAAGGAACACACTATTTGACCACAAACTGTGGTAGGCGTACCTCTGGTGGTACATATAGTTAATGTTTATGGTACGCGAAATATTTATGTAGCGATTATATTATCTTCTCGATCGGGGTCTGCGAATACGGAGCTTTATCGGTATTTGTTTGTTGTGCGCAATCTGGGAGGGTCAGGTTCACTTCGGACCTCTTCCTTCCGGGACCGTATATATATAAAAGGTATATAAAAAATTTTTAATAAGCTCAAATTGAGTTTCGCGCGTAAATATACACATTAATCTCCTCATTTCTAGACACTCCTCGCCAGCATAGACTCGCCAGTGTTTTCTTCCATTCAAATTGACAAAAATCTCATATATTTTTTTCAATTGTGCCAGAAGAAACAATCACATCCGCCCCATTAATAAGTAAATGTTAAATATATTAAATTTTGCTAGTAGTCTTTTTCGTGTTTCGAAAATTAGCCCTGAATTTGTACAAAAAAGTGAAAACCACTGTACTAAATGATTAGACGTTACATACTATTGAATGTGTGTGTGTTTGTATATGCATGTTCATATGAGTTCGCGCTGTAATGATTATTTGGGTGTTTGATTGATTGGTTTAAACGCAAAGCAGCATGATGGTCTATTTGCGCTCTGTCTATCACGGGGATCGAGTCCCGAACTATAGCGTTATAGGTCCTCAAGCTTTCCGCTAAGACATACATAACGAAAATAAAAAGACCATACACTTATATAAACACAAAACATATTTTATTTGTGTAAAGTTATAACAACAAATTATAAAATATTGTTACGTCTGTGTTCGTTTGTTAATTTTTCGAAGAAATTCTTTCCGAGAAACTTCAGTGATACAAGCCTTTTTTTAAATAAAATAGTTTATTCTTTCTCAATTCAACTTTGCAATACACTTAATTTTCACAGTCACTTTAACTTAAACACGCTCTATAATTCACAGCGATTCACGCACTTGACTTACGGCTTGACTCGATTATCTGTCTCTATCTCCCTGTCTACTATTCAATTATCTATCTATCTCGTCACTTCTCGCTGGTCTCATATATACAAAATAGAGGGCGTCTCGAGCCTTCAGGAACCTTCCAGATACCCATTACGTGTTACCAGCGTCACGTGACTTGCGCTGTCGTAACAATATTATATTCTACAATGATTCTTTAAATGATGCTATACAATTTGATTGCTTATTTTACACGAATTGCACTCGGAGATACGTTTTAAAAGCCTTAATGAAAAACATAACTTCTCTCGAGCTAGGGCATACAATATCACAACAATTCGATAGCAGATTTAAAACAGTAACTATTTTGAAATTACGTCCAAAAGGCTCTTAAATATTTGTTGCTTCGGTCAGTTATTTCGAATAACAGCCGTTGTAAGTACGAGGCCTTAAGCTGTAGGATTAGTGGTCACACAGCCCAACATTAGATGGACTTGTCCAACTCACAGAAGTTTGTTTAAAATCAAAGCCGAATTAAATGCTTTTGTAACTGTTTTCAGAAAACACAAAGTCACATATTTTATTGTAGTTTTTAAAGGGGTAATAGTAGTAAACTGATTTCAATCTTAAATGTTTTATTTTTATCTCACCGGTGCGACTCAAGTACTCGCTTATGTACTTGTATCTAAGGCCGGTATTGACTATTTCCAGAGTCAACTTGTATTATGATAATTGGAGAATGCGATCACAGTGTTTTTGTATTCAACTAAGAACGAACGAACATGGATATTTGGGCTAGGACGGAAGGGAGTTAAGCTCTTCGATATGGCACGTTTGTAAAAACAAGTTTATTTTAATATAAATAAAGCTGTTGTGTGGTAGACGCTAACCTGATTAATTTAACTTTGTGTTTAACGCGGTAGATATACATTTGTGACGGTATTTTCACTTTTAAAATATTAATAGCCTTGTAATTCGAAACAAGTTTGGATTAAGAACAGGATTAACTCGACTATCCTATGCTTTTAAAGCACCATAATCAATCACGTATATGAAATTAAGAAAAGCTGCAAAACACCTATGGTTCCAGACTTTTCTGACACCCTCTAGTGACAATGAATTGAATAACAAACTGTACCTAGCATGTATAATAAAGTGCAAGTCTAATGGTTATAATCCTCAAGATATCTCAAATAAAGGAACAGAGTTTACTCTTTTATTAAAAATTGTCAACTAATCCTTTCCTATTAAGTATTACGTATTAGAGATTGGCATGTTTTATTATTCATTTTGAAAAATAAAGGTTTTTCGTCCCAATGTGCTCCATTTCTCATAACCATATGGTTTTTAATTGACTTTTTTGCCTTAGCGTAATTTCTATCTTTCTAAATAAGTGAAAACGAATAAAAAAGAAACATTTTAGAGAGTGTGGTTCGTTGAAAAGTTAGTCTTCAACATCACCCAAGTATCATTACAAACTACCACATTCAAATTATGAAACACATCAGTTAATAAACTCCTAAAACTGTAGTTTGTTTCTTAAACCACACATTCCTTTTTTTTTGCGTGAAATCAGTTTTACAAAAAATATCATATTAAACATTACCGATAGAACTTACGTTTAAAACGCAAAAATAATAAAACTATTATCAACAAACAACTTAAGTACCCTTAATCGAAATGTGGTCAAGGTAAAGTGGGCTGACGTATATGGATAATACTTAGACAAACTCAAGATAAAATAAATCCTGATTGTCCAAGGTCATTAATTTATTTTTTTTTACCTACATTGAATCCAATAGATTGTTCGAAGTAGACTTTTCATCACTAAAAATTCACTCAGCTATAGAAAGATTTAATTTCTTGCTTTAAATTTTTGGTGTTACATTTTGTTTTCTCAACCGAAGCTGTTCTTTATTATCATTCAGTTTGTTTGCTGGCTTTAAAGATTAAACAAGAAAGGTTAAGCATTCCTTGCACTTTGTTATATTATT